CTGTGATTTTTTTATACCCTAGAATGCCTTCTCCAGGTCAGGCATGAGGTCTTGCCTTAAGTGGAGTTTAAGTATCTCAGGGTCTTGTTCACAAGTGAAGGTAAGAAGGAGAATGAGATCAACGTTTGGTGCTGCACCTGCATTGATGCAGGCATTGTACCGGTCTGTCGGGGTGAGAAGAGAGCCGAGCCGCAAGACGACGCTCTCGATTTAATGGTTGATCTACATTCCTACCCTCGCCTATGGTCACGAGCTTTGGGTAGTGACCGAAAGTATGAGATTGTGGATACAAGCGGCCAAAATGAGTTTTCTCCACAGGGTTGCTGGGGTCTCCCTTAGAGATGGAGTGAGAAGCTTGGTCATCCGGGAGGGGCTCGGAGTAGATCGGCTGCTCCTCCACATCAAGAGGAGCCAGTTGTCGTGGCACGGGCATCTGGTTAGGATGCCTCCTGGATGCCTTCCTGGTGAGGTTTTTCAGGCAAGTCCAACCAGAAGGAGACCCAGGACACGCTGGAGGGGCTATGTTTTTCAGCTGGCCAGGGAATACCTTGGGATTCCCTTGGAGGAGCTGGCCCATGAGGAGAGGGAAGTCTAGGTCTCTCTGCTTAGGCTGCCCCCACAACCCGACCCCTGAGGACAGATGGATGGATGATTTTTTTTTCTGCTTGTTAAAAATCTGAACTCTGAATATCAAAAGACAAAACTTCCCTCTGACACGTCAACTGGACAACATACATACATACATACATACATATATATACATACATATATATATATATATATATATATATATATATATATATATATATATATATATATATATATATATATATATATATATAAATGATGGCTTTCAGAGTCAGAGGACTCCAAAGTGCTTTACACTTTAGTGCATCATTCATCCGTTCACACACACAGTCACACGCTGACACTATAATGTAGCCACAGTTGCCCTGGGGCTCACTGACTGAGGCGGGACTTCTCCGTCTGCTGCCAGCAGGAAGGGAAGGTTGGGTGTCTTGCCCAAGAACACAACAGCACAGATGTCTGCTGGGATCAAACCTCCAATCTTCTGATTACTGGACAACCCGCTCTACCTCCTGAGCTGTTGCTGCCCTTTAAGTCTAGAGCCCTATGATAATAATAATAATAAATGAATCAAAGATGCACTTAAAAACTAAAAGGAATTTGATAAAATATGTTTTCATTCTTCAAATCTGTAACATAAAGCATGGAAGAAAGGCTAACGAAATATAAAAGTAAAGATATGAAATAAAGAGACTCCACATGTTCCTCCTTGTCACATTGTTGGAGTTTGAAGTTGATTTAGCTTCATAATATCTGAGTGTGTTCCCAAAGGTGAAGAAAGCGACCAAATGAGAGAAGTGGTGGAATATAACCATCCTAAAGGTTTTTCTGTTAATAAAAGTAATAAAAAATAGCTAACTCTCCCAAGTTGGATCAAAGACAACACTCAAACCAGGTGAATAAATAAGCTGTTTCCAGGAAGTGTTTCATTTCTATTTGGTATTGAGAGGTGGCGTGGAGAGTGTTTAAACACAAGGGTTCTGCATAACTCAGACACCCACTGAGACGTCCCCTCCACGTCCCTTGCCCTTGGCCTTTACGTCATGCCTGGTTTGTCTTTAGACATCCAGCCTTGTTGGAGGCTTGTTTTCTGACCTTTTGACCAACCAACCAGAACAAGAAATGTCAATTTCTCTACGACACAAAGAACATTTGCGTTTGAAAATCATCTAAACGCAAAGAACAAAAACAAAAGCTGTGGTGGAATTTGATGCCGTTTCTCTGCTGCATGTAACAGCTTATTTTCTCTGTCTACTCCTTTAAAACACACATGTCGACATGTGAAAATCCTTCATGATCCAATATAAACACACTTAATTCCTCAACTTTTTACTTGTAATCTCATTGTTTTTTCCAGTTTTCCATCGTAACTATTCAAACACCGAAGTAATACTCTTTAGACCTCCAAGTCTTACTGGAAACCAAACACCTGCTGCCTTCTCTCGCCCCTTACGGTCTGTGGTTGCGAACCTGGGAGTGAGAATAATCTCAGTCCTAAAGATGGATTCTCAGGTCAACTCAGTGGTGAAACCCTGCTTTTTCCATCTTAGGCAGATTTCTAAACTTAAGGGTGTACTGGGTAATCGTCACCTTGAATCAGTAGTCAGTGCCTTCATTACACCGCGGCTGGATTTCTCAAACTCAAGTCTCTACGGCAGGTGTCACCAACTCCAGTCCTCAACGGCTACCATCCTGCTAGTTTTCTGTTTCCTGCTCTACCACACCTGAATGAAGTAATTGAATTCTCTCCTTAACTGAGCACAGGCCTGTTAATTACTCATTCGTTTCAATCAGGTGCGTAGGAGCAAAGAAACAGCTAACACGTGCAGGATGGTGGCGTTTGAGGACCGGAGTTGGTGACCCCAGCTCTACGGGATCAGTAAAGCATCTCTCTCATGCCTCCAGCTTGTCCAGAATGCAGCGGCACGGTTCTTGACTAGAACCAATAGACAACATATTACCCCAATTTTAACATCTCTCCACTGGCTGCAAATTCATTTTACAATCTATTTTAAAATTTCTCCTCAGCCAGAGGAGAATTTAGCTTGGCAGGATGGCAGGAATTGTCTTATTTCCTGATATTTGGACATCTTACCCCAGCTCCAAACTGGTGCTAAATGCACAGAAGACAGCAGAGGTTGTTGTGGACATTAAGAAGCATATAGCCCCACTCCCCCATAACCCTGTCTGACATTCCCATCACAATGGTGGACTCATATCGCTTCCTGGACACCATCATCACCCAGGACCTCAAGTGGGAGCCCACATTCACCTCCATCATAAAAAGGGCTAGCAGAGGATGTACTTCCTGAGGCAGCTGAAGAAATTCAACCTACCTGCACAGACAATGAGGCTTTTCTACACACCAATCTTCGAGTCCATCCTCACCTCTTCAATCACTGTGTGGTACACTGGAGCTACCATCAGGGACATGAAAATAGTTCAGCGTGTGGTGCGCTCTGCTGAGAAGGTCATTGGCTGCAAACTCCTGTGATGTAGATCTGCCGGGCTTTTCACATCCTAACATTTCACCATCTATTTTCTATCAGAAACTAATGCAGGAGATAGGTGTAGGAGACTACTTTCATGTTCAGCCTGCATGAAACACTTGGAGTGACTGATCATTTTCAAAAATAATAAGTAATAGGGCTGCACGATATTAGGAAAACCTGCGATATTCGATAACAGTGCTTAATATTGCGATATCGATATTACTCGCGATAAATGAACAAATACTAAAGTATGCAGTGATGATGTCGTCTGGCGTGTGACGTCTGCTCTGGGTTCAAAGCAAACAAAAACTAATGCATGAATTCCATTACAACATAACATTCTTATTACAAAAATATGCAGCTGCACCTGCTACTGTATTAGCAGCAAAACAACAAACTGCATGCATGCAGTTTCTCAGTGACTTTAAAACATCACCACCACCATAAAACTTTTTCTGATGCTCCAAATACAGAAAAACATCCCTTACCAGGGTTTTTGAATAAATAAAAAAATCAGAAAGTTACTTTAAATGTTAAATAATAGTTAACATCACTTAAAGTTAAAGTCCCATTAGTTGTCACACACACAGGTGTGTGTGCGAAATTTGTTCTCCGCATTTGACCCATCCCCTGGGGGAGCGGTGAGCTGCAGACACAGCCGCGCTCGGGAACCATATGGTGGTTTAACCCCCCCAATCCAACCCCTTAATGCTGAGTGTCAAGCAGGGAGGCATTGGGTCCCATTTTTTCAAAGTCTTTGGTTTGACCTGACCAGGAATCGAACCCCGATCTCCCAGTCTCAGGGCGGACACTCTACCACTAGGCCACTGAGCAAATGCAACAGCAAATTCTCTCATTGCTACAGAACATTTTCTCCACTAATGTGGTTATGATATAAGGCTGTTGCTGTAATTGGGAAGTGAACTGTGCTGGGCCAAACTAAAAGAATATTAAGATTCTCTGAGGGAAAGAGAGAAACAATTGTCTACCTTTCAGAAGAGGAACTGGCAAAAAAACCTACATGGAAAATATGTGAAAATGTTTGGTTTTAACCCCAAATTTACTTAGATCTTAAAAAGCAGCTCAGATGATGAAACAGCAACTATGATTCTGATAACAAGCTAACAAATTGAACTAAGATAACCGGCTAGCAGAGCTTCTGACTGACAGTTTATGTGCAGCAGCAAATCAACTATCCTGATTAACAAGGTTATAAAAGCTCATAAATGAAAAATCAGTTTGACGTGTGGGGGAACTTTTCCAGGCCCTCTTAAGCAGGGTGGGACTGGGAGGAGAGTGCTGTAGCCTTTTAGCTGGACGCTAACCTGGGACTAACACTAGCGACATGAAGGTGGGTTGGTTCACCGGCACGTGTCGGAGTCAGCCCGGTAAAAATGATTAACGACACCGAGCGGAGTCACGTTCACGTTTGAAAGCAGCGCTGAATCCAGAAACATCAGCACAAAGTGCGTTCGTTGCTCTGAGCCAGCATGACGAACAAGGGAACGGCGCCGCTAACTCTCTTTGGGTGTTGCTTTCCAACAGGGTCTATGTAGGGGGCGGGCGTATTACGTGAACAGAACCATCCAATTGGCCGCATATCAGAAGGACTACATTTGATTGGTCAAATCATACTTCCACGTAAAAAACAGAGCTGGTTTACAAAAAACTGATGTATGACACGGATGGAAATGTTTGAACCAAACATTTATCGCTGTTTTTGCCGTGTTTTGCGATGGACCTATCGCACGTCCTGTTATCGCGATGACGATAATTTTTCGATATGTTGTGCAGGAACGGTTTGTAGCTTTTTGTCAGTTTTCTTATTTTTTTATCTACGTCTTTGCCACTGTTCCACTTTTTTCAGGTGCAATGCTGTGGTTAAAGTGCTCTATATGATTTCTAGACTTCAACTCTTACCAAGCGTCTTCTTTCCTCTTCAACGGTGTTCAACAGCTGGGAGAACTCTTTAAATGACTGGGCTGTAAAAAAATAAAATAAAAAAATCAGTTTCAGAAACAACACAAAATAAATGTTTCGACATGTATGTCATAATTGTGCATGTACAGACGGAACCGCTGAGCTGATCTGCAAAGATAATACAATTATAAAAACAGTACTGCAGTTGTTAAAGATCAGATGTTGCAGGCGCCCTAAATCTTAAGTGTTGTTTCTCTTTGCTGCTTCAGAGCCTTCAGTGCAGCACATTTTAGAGCGTAATAAAAGCATGCAGCTGTCCAATTTAAAACCAGGCTTCACCTAGCCGTTAGAAGCAATACTTCAATTGAATGGATTCCACTGATTGCTTCCCTTTACTTTCTTCTCCTTCTAGGTGTTACAATATACTGTCACAATGTAAGGGAGATTGATTTGGTGGAGATGTGTTCACACCATCTGGGATATTCTTCACTTTTCCATTCTGCACGGCCAGATGCATCCAGAACACATTTTACCTTATCTGCCAGACAATTGAGCCTTGATGTCTTTGCATCTTCCTCGAATAGAAGGCAAGAAAGAGTTGGGTCTCTGTTGGTCAGCCCCCCCATGTCACCCACGTCCAGCCTTTTAGCAGTGGTCAAGCGGCTCTGCTTGCCAACACAGTAGCAACGTTATCCACCCTGACAGCCTGGCACGGGGACCCATGCATTATCTTAAGACACTTTGGTCCATTTACAAACCAAAGCTTTAAAAAAGCAGGGAGCAATGATTTTGTGCCAGTAAACTTGCAGGCAGCCGGCCTTCTATTAGCGCTACCAGCTCCTTTATCAACAGCCCAACCCTCTCAGGGGGTAAAGGCCACAGCAGGGGCTGCTAATGGGACACGATTACAAAGGAAATGGGAGTGAAAGTGGGGTTATAGCTTGCAAATAATTCAAAGGTAAAAGGAGAATGCATTGTATTTGGTGATTCTGATGAATAAAGCAAGGTGAATTAGGTAAATGCTGACATTTCTTTAGTTTTTGCTCAAGATTATAATGAAGGTCCTTCTTAATCAGTACTCGAGGTGTAATCATTGTCTTTCTGCTCGGTATTCAACTCTTTGGATCACGAATCGAACTCATCAGATTTGTTCCTCTTCAAAATGCTTTTTGAGACTGACCTTCAGAGTGAAGGGCTACCAACTTTTTGAAAAATTTAAATTTCTATAGCCACATCAATCTTTTGCCCCCATTGATTCCCAGATAACGGACACGGAATGTGAATGTCACTGCAGGATGTCATCGAGTGGGATCGATAAAAGGTCAGGTGAAACCGTCTGGAGCGCGCGCACACACACACACACACACACACACACACACACACACACACACACACACACACACACACACACACACACACACACACACACCATACTCAAGTTACAATGGGGAGGCTGGGAGCATCAAAGTGAACTGTACCAATACTGCATCAAGAGCACGGGTGGCATTCGCTCAAGGGTCCAGCTATGTCAGTCAGAAAGCTTGGTTTCATTGATGGCAAGATTGATTTCAACAGGCTGTCTCATTTTTCCCCTCAAATAGTTATCATGGCCTTTACTCTCATGAGATGGTGAGTGAGAACAGCTCTGCAGCACAGATTGTAAAAAAGATTCTGAACACTTGAAACTCACACAGAAAAATGTACTTTTGCACATTATTATAAAGCTCTGCGTTACTCTGCATTTAGATTATTGCAAATCATACTAGATTGAGCAACATTTCCTTCATTTTTGCAAGGGATGTTCGATACTGGCATTAACAAATGGGATTAAAAAATCGGAAATGATCAGTATCAAATTTTTCCCTTTTAATGACACAACTTTTACATGCCATGCACACATCATATATCAACCTCTCCAGCTACGTCTTCTCTCACTCACAATGTCAAAATATGACAGATTTTTTAGATATTTTAGTCTGTTTGGCTCAATTGACCCAACATAAACTGAAGCACCTGTCAAATGCACAGGTGTTGTTTAAAGTTAATGTTTGCATGATAGGAGATATGATATTAGTTACATCAAAGGCTTTACTTTATATATTGGTATCAGTTGACATCGGTATCGAAAATGAAAAGTGAGCATGTATTGAAAATCTCACGTTTTGCTTCTTTGTGCTGCTTAAATTTTCAGATAAACAAACAAATGCAGATATTAAACAAAGATAATCTGATTAAATACAGTTTTCAAATAACTGTGACCTACTCTTAAATTTATTTAGTTGATCCATGATGTTTTGCTTTTTGAAGCCATTTAGCCCACATTTCTAAACATAATGTCATTTAGATTAGTAACAAGTGATTTATTTCAGTAAGTCAACATAAAAGGTGAAACTAAAATATGAGATAGACTCATTACAATCACAGCCATGTATTCAGCCTTTATTTGTTATAAAATATTGATGATTATGGCTTAAGGCTCATAAAAAACTTCAAATTCAAAACAGACAATTAGAATATTGTGAAAAGGTTCAATATTCTAGACTCAAAGTGTCACATTCTAATCAGCTGATGGATCCAAAACACCTGCACAGCCTGAGCCTTCAGATGGGCTCTCAGTCTGAGATGAATTACTGACATAAATGGACTTTTGTACCATATTCAAATGTTCTGAGTACCACCTGTAAATCAAGATCTGACAAGGGGGTCCATTACTTTTTTGCACAGGTTCAGGCAGGGCTGGACAATTTCTTTTCCCATAATAAATACAATTGTCTTGAATAATACTGAATTTACTCAAGTTAAGCTTCTCTGAGCCGAAACAAACAACAAAAAAAGGAAAAACAAGAGATATCTGTCAGGCAGCAGCACTGTAGCTCTGTTGTTTTAATTGTTGTGCTAACTGTTTGCATTATAGGAAAAGGGTTGAAGGCTAAAATAACCATTGATCCATCAGTGAAGCATGGTAATGAGAGCATTGCCTCAAATTAAAGAGTGCTTTATCCAAAAGAGATTTGGCTCTGGGTGTAGATTTTTCCCATTTAGCATAATTAGTAACTGCGCCCATGGCCACCGTACAGTTACTCCAGCTTTGTAGGAAAAAAAAGTCTGTTCATTAGCATTCTGATGAACATTAAAGCCTTGTGAAGAGGAGGTTGATACCCGGTCCAGCCCTCACAGATGGACAGTAATTCGGCTGTCTAAAGCTCAGCACAGCGATGGCCTTAAGCTGGGAATAATGAGGGTGACGCAACACAAGGAGAGAAGGAGGAGGCCAGACGGGCAGCCCTGCCCGTTAAGAGCCAGAGTTTCCTCCTGCACAGCTGCTTTCGTCCACCTACTGGAGGCCCGGCTGCTTTCACCTCCATTAATCTCTGACATGGATCACGATTAGTCCTTCTGATCTCTTGGAGAGTCGAAAAGATGCAGACGAGGCATCATAACCAAATCGATGGCTCTAATTATTCTGTATGAGGTCTACGCTCAAAGCTAAATTTGCATGCTGATCATGAAAACCGGATAGTTCTTATTAAGCCGTAAGAGCCTTTACTGAGTAAATCTGATTACATACCATTTGTATCACCTAAAATCAAGAGGAAATTGTTCTCCTGATACCTTGGCTCAGACCCATCTGTCACCGGGCTGCCACTAATGGTAAATAAGTCCGCCCATCCGTCTGTCCATTTTCTTTTGTTTATCAGGAGTCGGGTCGCAGGGGAAGCAGCTTAAGTCGAGAGGCCCAAACTTCCCTCTCCCCAGCCACACAGGCCAGCTCCTCCAGGGGAATCCTAAGGCATTCCCTGGCCAGGTGAGACACATAGTCCTTCCGACATGTCGTGGGTGTCCCTTTAAGTCTCCTCCCGGTTGGACGTGCCCAGAAAACCTCACCAGGGAGGCATCCAGAAGGCATCCTAATCAGATGCCCGAGCCACCTCAACTGGCTTCTCTTGATGTGGAGGAGCAGCGGGTCTACTCCGAGCCCCTCCCAGATGACCGAGCTTTTCAACTTATTTCTAAGGGAGAGCCCAGCCACCCTGCAGAGAAAACTCATTTTGGCTGCTTGTATCTGCGATCTTGTTCTTTCGGTCAGTACCCAAAGCTCATGACCATAGGTGAGGGTAGGAATGTAGATCGACCAGTAAATCAAGAGCTTCACCTTCTGGCCAGCTCTCTTTTTACCCCGACAGACCGGTTCAACGCCCACATCACTGCAGACGCAGCACCAATCCGCCTGTCGATCTCGTGCTCCATCTTTCCCTCACTCGTGAACAAGACCCCGAGATACTTAACCTCCTCCACTTGGGGCAGGACCTCATCCCTGGCCCGGAGAAGGCATTCTACCCTTTTCTGACTCAAGACCATGCTCTCAAATTTAGAGTAAATAAGTGAAGTCAAAAAAATCTTTCACTAATTTTAATTATATCAGTATTGGCAATCTACCACAGAGTGTTTAAGTTCTTGCTGTAATTTAGTAACTAATGGTTTTAAAGATGCATCCATTTATTCACAGTTTGTTGTTATAGACAAAAAACGTGAAAAGAAATATGTAAGATTTCAGCTGGAATCACATAGAACTGATACCTCCGTGCTGGGACAGCAGCAGCTCAGGAGGTGGAGCAGGTTGTCCAGTAATCAAAAGGTTGTAGGTTCAATCTTGGCTCACACCAGAGAATGCTGCGGTTGTGTCCTTGGGCAAGACACTTAACCCGCCTTGCCTGCTGGTGGTGGTCAGAGGGACCGGTGGTGCCAGTGTTCAGCAGCCCTCACCTCTGTCAATGCAGCCCAGGGCAGCTGTGGCTACACTGTAGCTCATCCCCACCAGCGTGTGAATGGGTGAATGACTGATTGTGTTGTGAAGTGCCTTGGGGGGGGGGGGGGGGGGGTGTAGGACCCTAAGAAGATGCTATAAAAATACAGACCATGCTAAAAATACAATGCATTTCCGTGGTGTGTTGCATGCTTCTGCCTGCAAAGGCCAACTTGTTAAAATGTTGTGTTCCACACGTAAACTGTACGAACCAAAGCTGTACATTTGTGCGGAGAGCCAAAGATGTCTGTATTCACATTTTCAGTCAAGTATAATTGGTCTGTAATAGCACAGTTGGCAGTTGTATCACTGACTCCTCCACCAGCTTCAGTGTCCTCAGGCAAGATACTGATCTGCAATTTGCCCCCAATGGCAGACGAGCGTTTCTGTAAAGCAGCTCCGCCACGGCAGCTAGAGCAAATGCTCGAGCAAATTGAAAGCACAGAATTCCAAGTTTTTCTCTAAAGAAACATGAATAAACCAGTTTTGTACAATGAGGCTATTTCAACAAAAGGGCAGACAGTCAAACACAAATGTAGCACAAATACAAGTGGTGCACCCTTGAGCAGAACTTTAAAGAGTGCATGCTATTAGCGTTTGCACTGCCAGAATTAAGCAATGTGACTTTATTAATCACCAATAAGAAAAGTTTAATAGTGTTTATAGTATCAAAAAAATAGATCTTGAATCCTAACCCTAACATTTAGGTCTGCACAAGGTATTTGGCCCCTTAAATTTCCAGGTTTAATGAACGCAATGGGGTTTTGTCCCACGGACGGGACGCTGGAACGTTAAGGGGTTAAAAGGAGACTAGGCAGTTTGACAACTTTTGTATATTCCTTCTGTGTGTTTCTTCTAATTGCATTTTTAGGTTCCTTTCCTGTGTTAAAAACACCACTTGAAGTCACAGACAAGATAAGTGCTTTCTCGTTTACTCTGGAAATGCGAGTTCCAGTATCGGGGGCGTGGTCTATGGATGCAGGCCGACAGCAGGGGAGAGTGTTCTGTTACCGGGTTTGGTTAAAAGCTTGTTTTGTAGATTTGGTATTGCAGCTTTAATGAGAAAAGCATGTAAGACAGCAGAAATATGTAAAGGCCATAATAATAATAATAATAATAATTATTGTTATTATTATTATTATTATTATTATTATAAAAAGAAACCACTATCAAAAGAAGGACACAAAGGGTTACTAAACTTATTAGGGACAAGCCATATTATTCCTGGCTTAATGATCCACACACAGAGGAAATCAAGGTTGAGCTCTTTAGGAATGTTTTAATGAAGTCTGTTCAGAGAAGCAGAATCCCAGTAAGGTTTGCTGCAATCTGATACGTGTGTTCAATCTGTGAAGAATGTCTTCAGATAATTACTTTGGAATTTTACAGAAAAAGTCTAAATTCAGTCATAAGCACATCTGGTGAAAGACTAAAGTCTCACAGAAGCAGACAGATTCCATTAAAACTTCTATAAGAGGAAAAACTGCGTCACCACTGTGAACCACCACCTCACATTTGCAACTGCATGATGGATTCTGCAACGTTATGTGGGAAAACAAGATGTGAAGTTTCTTCAGAGGCCCAGACAGACGCTGCAATTTTAGATTTTCTTTAAGCTTAGTCGCGATTAAAATAGGGTCAGTTTAGATGTATGCCCGACTTTAGCAACACAGCCAGCTGTTTCCCTCAGGAACACATGCAGAAACCTGCAAGGTGGTAACTAATCAGGTGAGTACTCACCAATGTTCACCTCATCGTCTGTTTCGGCATCACCTATGCACTCAAACTGGAACTCCTGCAGGGACTGGGAGAACTTTTGGACAGCAGCAGACAGACCTAGAATATCAAATATTAAAAGCAACAGATCAAATTCTGGGACATTTCACATGCAGCAGAAACACAATTCACAGTAAGGTTCTGGGACTATTCACACTCATTGAAGCCAATCATTAACTAATAATGTGACTCATTTCCTCAGCAGCAGCCCATTAATTTTTAACCCTGAGCTTCCTTGTTCCCTTAAATTAAATGGTTAATTTGGCTTTACATTTCCTATGAGCTCTTAAAAGATCCCTGCTGAAAGTGCAACACACTTCAGACAAAACGTGCTCTGTTGTATTGCATTTCTGACAAACACGCCAGTGCAACTGATGGCTGCTGTTGGTGGAATAAGGAAAAAAGATCAGGGATGTATTCTTTATGTGCATTTGTAGCAGAGCTCAACTCTTGGACCCAACAACATAAATGGCTCACATGCCACGGCTTGGAAAATAAATGGAGCCAAATAAATTTCACAGGGACATGGAGGGGGAAAAAAGTCCTGCAGAGACTTGCTAACACCTGCTCCCAGTTTCTGTCTATTGCTAGATATGAGATGCCTCAATGCCCCTGTTCTGTATCAAACACAAGTCAGATGTTAAACCGAGTTACTGAGGAAGTTTCAGTGCCAACAGTGCTCTATAATCTTTACAGGAAGTGCAAAATACATTTGTGTGCCTTAGGCAAGCATGCACAAACCCTTCTATAATCACAAAAAACTTTAATGACTGTAGCTTACAGCAGTTTGTAAAAGCCTTAAGTGGAAGGTTTAATAGAGGAGTTAGTTAAGGAGTCTGGGTATTATTTTGAATGTGTGAAGCACTCAAGAATATTTGGATTCCCTCGCTGTGTGGGACACCACATCATTTTTATTCATTTTCTGGCAAATTGAGACGATGCCCCACATTCCTGACTGGCTCTGATGTTCAGCGTTCACCACTGCAGAACAGATACATTGCTAAGCAGAGAAGACTCTCATCTCAGAGGCTGTGTTAAATGTAACAGGCTAAGTGCAAGTTAACCTGTGATTGTCCTTGCTCCAGTTGCACCAAATGGGAACAAAAAGTGTGGAGGAACCCCAAAGCACAACTTCAGCTCTGAAGATTTCCGTAGATTATCAAAGAAAGTAAAACAAAATGGGAAATGGTGATTTAATAGCTGTTAAAACTAGATGACTGGGATCCTCAAACCAATTTCAGATTTAGTAGTTTGAACTAAGGTGAGTGATGTCTGGTTTTCATTGTAATACCATTGGACAGGGCCAATTTTGGGGCTCGAGGACCAGTATCCAGCATGTTTTAGTGATTTCTCTAGTCCATCACACTAGATTCAGTGGTTGAATCACCTGTGCAGCAGCTCATCAGTCTCTGCAGAAGCCAGTTAATCACCTGCTGATTGAAATCAGGTGTGTTGAAGCAGGGTTAAAACCAAAATGTGCTGGATACCAGCCCTCAAGTCCCGGTACTGGATAGCCCTACCATAAGAGTTAGTTTTGGCTTTTCCCAGCTGAGACTAGGGCTGGGCGATATGATGATTTTAGACCGTTTCACGATCTACACATCTGACGGTCTGTCATTTTTGAGAGACCTTTTTATCACGATTCACAGCTCTGCTGTTGAATTTCTGCCTCTGAATGAAAATGGAACTTACCCCAGGCGAATGACACGCCTTTGTTTGACCCTTAACCAATCAGAGTGAGTCATAGTAATATATTAGTGCCCCGCTTGTTTTCACCTGTGTGTGAACAAACATGGCTTCGGCCGCGGCTGAGCGACAACGAGGTTTTCGTTCCGAAGAGGAACGCAGGGTTTCCTTAGCGCGCGGCGCTAACAACTTAGCGACGTGACATGTGTCGGAGAAAGCGTAAAAACACGTTGGACGCTTCTTCTGAAGCAGGAAAATAACACTTCTTCTTAAGCAGAGCACGACATCACCTCGGCTCGTTCACCCTCTGCCGAGCCGGACTGAGCTCGGTCACTGGGTCGTTGGAGCTGCCCCGTGACTGCCTGATGGAAAACCAGCGGGTTTCATCAGACTCGTAGTTTCTTGTTTTTGCTGGGGACCCCTGTATTTTACCGCTCCCTCCTGCAGTCTTCCCCTATTAAAATTTAAAATGATTCTGTAAACTCCGTGTATCAATAGAAACAATCTCTGCCTCTGCCATCTGCAGTAAATGTAGTTTCCAAATAATAAGAGGTACATTCATCTGTGTATCTCCTTTGATCCGCATTAGTGATATTTTCAGCACCAGAACAGTGAAGCAAAGAAAGATTCCTGAGTTTGTTAGTAATTATATTTATTAGGTGCATCTAACCTGTTCTATTTTTCTCTGAAATGAGATCAAATCAGTGCTTCTATGAAGACTTATTTAGAGACTTGTTGCAGAAAATATTCAGAATGCGCAGTTATTTGCTACCACAAGCGATCTCTGGTCCAGCCGCACATCAGAGCCGTATTTGAGCTTAACTATCCAATACATGAGCAACTGGGAGCTACATAGTATTTTGAAGTTAATGTTTACACAATACGTTTGCAATTGACATGTTTGCACTTTAAATATGTTTACGATTTTAATTTATGTTAAGATACTTGAAAAACGAGAAAAACTGATTTTTGTAATTGTTTCTCTCAGGGCTTTTATCTTCTCTGGTGTGAGTTTAAAATATAAGCGTGTTAGCATTGTGTTGATTATCCCTAATATGAATAAATGTTTATTTATTCAATGTTTCTCTTCTTTAATACGCAATTGAAGTTATGCTATCCATGGATAAAAAATCGTGATAAAATCGAAATCGTGAAAAAATATTGGAAAAATCGTGATATTCTATTTTTGCCATATCGCCCAGCCCTAGCTGAGACCGCGTCTGGGATATTAAAAAAATAGCACAATCTATAGTACTATTTTGGCAACACCAAGCTGGCTCCTGGCATGCTCACAAATATTGCAGAAGAGATCCCGGACGAGCCCCCAACATGTTACAACATGACATATTGGAGAGAGAGAGAGAGAGCGAGCGAGAGAGAGAGAGAGAGAGAGAGAGAGCTGTAGAAGCGAAGTTTAATTAGCGTAGCCACACCCATCCTTCATGTGCAGCTGGCTCTTTACTAACCATCCAAGCCTTGCAGTAGAAAAGGCTACATGAAGGGAAACAAGATGGTGGGCAATCACACAAGAATACTCTTACATAGGGAATTGAGAAAGTGTGCCCTAACATGAGCTTTCCAACAAATGTGTAAGCAGTGTGTAATGTAATAAACATACGACTGATCACCCTTGTTAGAGTGGGATGGGGGGGTTTGAAACCGGATATATTTTCTGTCCCCCCCCCGGGTGTGCCAGCTTCTGGGGGAGCCCTAACCCTTTCACCCTTTCTGGGGAGCCGGACTCCTCATATCTTTCACGTGGTTCGAACCCTAGAGCAGCTGTGTATAATTGTTTTGGTGATGTTTATTGAGGGCAGTGAGATACTAAAAGTTAACATTTTTGCTTCAAACTTGCAAACGTTTAGCACTTCTAAAAAGAAGTGCTAAAGTCTCACCTCGAGTGGCTGGTATGCTACTAAAATGACACATTATTATGATGGTTTTCTTATGTGTTTATGGGATTTTAAATGTGGAAATGCATGGTAGAACTATTGACTGTTGCAGGCTTCTGCATGGAGTAAGCATGTTCTCCCCGTGCATTTGTGGGTTGCTCTGTATACTCTAGTTTCCTACCCCATCAAAATCATGACATGTTAGGGTAAATTGTAAGTCACTTTGGATAAAAAGTCTATAAAATGAATAATTCCAAAGGACTTGACCTGAATCAGTAGTGAGATCTGAAGTAAGGCAAAGCCACTCACCATGCCTAATTTAGAAAACAATAATTTAAAAATGTAAATTCCTGTAAACAGTTCTACTGTTTTGGGAAAGTCATTGATTTATTTTAATGAAGCCACATTTATTCGTTGTGAATCATTGAAGCATCATTTATCATTGACCCCATCATTTATCATTGACCCAGTCACACCTGATTAGTGTCGGTCATTTCCACCTGTGAGTTCTTCATATTCCTGTTTAACCTGTGAAGTGTTTTAGTTACACGTTTCACTGAACGAACAGTTGTTGTGAATCCACCTGAGGATAAAAGTCAAGGCTGTATTTTGGATTGATGAAACCTGAAGCCACCTCATCTATTCAGAGTTGTTTTTCTCATTTAACACAGATGACTTTCTTCACTCCTCTCTCAAAGCATCCATCTTCTCTGTCTAGAATGTGTACGTTACTGCCCTCAAAAAGAGTGGCCCTTTTCTTTGAGATGAAGATGGAAGGCTGAGTCTTGACCCATTCCCATCTCCGCTGGTCTTTGAGAAAAACACGTTCAAACAAGAGATGAAATTTCTTCAAGAAAAGAATACAATCTAGTTGGCTTTTATTTCAAAACTAAGTGACTTTTTTATTTGCCTTATGAGATCTGCTTGATAATATTCCAGATAAGCTATGCACTTTTTTTGTTGTTTAGCAGCTTTAAGCACTTTAGGTTATCAAGACTGATGTGTGAATGAAATAAATACTACAAAATACAAGATATAGTGAAGCATGAAAAAAAAATGTTGGCCAGCACTTCTGAAAAACTGAGATTTTCCCCGAGCGTTGCACTTTTTACACAAGGAAGATCAGGCTGATATGAGTTTATTTTGCAGTAGTGGGCTGTGATCTGTGATATAATAGAATGACCAAGTAAAGATATTTGTTAGTTTCGATTCTCTTCAAAGCCAGTCACTTGTTTTTCTGTGTCATCCTGCAGAATGATTTTCCTACACTGAGAGCACAGAGTGGGAGTTTTAAGGAACATTGTTTTTGTGCTTATTTCAAATCTCAGCGCTTTACAGAACAACATGCACTTACGACTGCAGTTTAGAACTATTTTTTCTTTTCTCTGTGGCACTGACTAGTTTGTTTGGATTTTGAAGTTCCTAACATGGAAGCAAGTCGAACCTATTGGATTTAGTAGATACTTCTGATTTGCAGTAGCA